AACACTTTTGAAAAGTGAAGTGTGTCACAAGCTGCACCAATCTGTTGCAATGTGTTTGTTTGAGACATAACAACATTGGCTACACCAATGACGGGGCGGGACACCCAAACAATGGAGGATGTGGGGATTGTAAGAAATGTATTACTGAAATGTATTTTATCCTGCTGCTGCTAGTAGTTGAGAAGCACTTTAACTAGATTTTTACATTTTTTAAGTAAGCTCGTCCATGCAAATATCACTGCCACAATTATATGATGTTATGGGTGGTTTTTATGCGGTTGCTAAGTGGTTTTAATGCGTTTCTATATGGCTGTAAGGCTGTTCTGGATAGTTGTTTACTAGTCAAACAATCCCACACCCACATTTCTCTTTCTCTTTCCTGAAATATTTAAATAAAAAAACATTCAAAAATAATACATACACTATCATTCAAAAGTTTGGGTCTCATATGCTCACCACAGTTGCATTTATTTTTTGATATTACCGGTATTACAAATAACTTAAAATAACTGTTTTCTATATTAATATAGAATTTATTTGGTAAAGTTAATTGTCAGTGGCCATTGCTACCATCGTGAGTGTCACATGTTCCTTCAGAAATCATTCTAATATGCTGACTTGGTGCTCAAGAAACATTTTGTATTATTATCAATGTTACGCTGCTTAATATTTTTGTGGAATCCATAATACATTTTTCTTTGTAGACATTTCTTAATAACAGCATATATATCTGTACGTGATAAAGACAGATAATAATATTATGCAAGCCAAATATTATACATTATAACTGACATATGCCCAAATGAATCAGACCCTAATCTAATAAAATCTGAATCGATCCTCACAAAGAAAGCTTGCAAATTGGATTCAAATCAGTAAAACGATACCCAACCCTACCCACCCACCCTTCAACCCAAAATTTCAAATGGGACATCATAAGGTCAATTTCCACATGAAACAACCTCCACAAAACTTTTAGTGACAAGATCTATAATTTTGAATTGAACGGAAATTTATTTGACACGTTTATAAACTGTACACAATAAAAAGTATCCCTTACACTTGAAAAAAACTGTTGAGGATAAAAACACAATAAAGCCATTGGCTTTTTTCCATTGCGGTCTTCGCTGTTACAGTCGCCTTTTTTAGCCACCTAGATATGGTTCAGACCCCTTTTCGAAGCCACTTGATTTTTTTTGTCCACTTTGTCTTCTAAAACAGGCAAACGTAACAGTACACACCTCTCCTATAAGCTTCACAATGGATGTGTTATTTGATGACCGTTTAATTCTTAGGGTGAGACGTTTGAGGAATAGTAAAGGCGATGAAAAACTTAATGCAATGTATGTCAGGTACACAGTTTTAATGGTGCCTAAAGGAAACATATACAGAGTTAACAAGCAACTGAAGCATGTCGGAGTGAAAAGCTTCTTGAATTTCCATGAAACCTCACACACACAGTAAGGTGACTCTTTGCAGAAACAACCCCAGGAGACTTTAAGAAGTCGGTGACCAGGATCAGTCCAGTGACCAACAACACTGAAGCTATAGCCGGTATATGACCCTCCCCCGCTCAACACACACACACGCTGCAGAACGGGTTAAAGAAACTCCTCCTGAGAGCCTTGTTCTCCCTCTCTCTCTGTCTCAGGTCTTTCTCTCCTTTCCTCTCTTCAATGGCCCTTTGTGTAGGGCCCCTGGGACATCAACATGACAATGTGCCCCAGCAGTGGGATCCTGTGTTTGTTAAGTGCCCTCACCCTCAAGAGACAGAGGCTACGGCCAACTGAGAGGTGAGGTTAGCTAGAGAGGAGAGGCCATCTTTGATCAAACGAGCAAAAAAGAGGGAAGAAAGAGCGTAGCGACTTTTCATTAACTCGAGTAGCATGAAGGCCATTCATGTTGGAAGAGCGGGAAAAAGCAGCGGCATTATACTGCTCAACTAATCATTTAAAGATGAGGTTAATATGTTTGAGAATTGTAAAATGGCTCGATTGAAAGCGAGTGATCTGGCCTAAGGTAGTGGTGGTGTCTGTCTTTTGTGTGATGTTACTCCACTGGAAGGAAATGCTGTCGTTCTTAGCGTAGCAGCTGGGAAGTAGCTAAGTCATTTAGTTTGATGCTCATTGATCATGTCAGACACATATAATACTGTTGACTTCCTATAGAAAAGAATGAGAATTGTTTGTGTTTAGGAATTGAACATGGAAAAACCACTAAAATATCCTTCCTCAAATGAAATGATATCTCTAACATCTACCAGCTATTACTGCTGCTTTCCAGAAAGCGAAAATGTTCTTTTTATTAGCTTTTCTGAACTACATATCTGAAACGTTCACTTCAATAATAACTTCTCCCGAAATCCACAGTTCCATCTCAAATTGAGCCTAAAATTGCAGTGTTCTCCCACTTGTCCTGGAGTACTCATCTGAGCAACTTTATGTATATTATTCTGTATATTATATAAGTCATTTAGTTTGACACATATAATACTATTTACATTCTCTGGAAAAACAACAGAGAACAGTTTGTTTGTGTTTAGGAAATTAACATGAAAAACCACTAAAATGTCCTTCCTCAAGTAAAAACAAATCCCTAGCATAACTTCTCCTGAAATACTCCGTTTCATCTCAAAGCTGACAGTGTTCTCCCACTCGTCCTGGATTATTCATCTAAGCAACTTTGTTCATTATTCTGTTACAATGACCATGGACACCAAACTACTCTTCAACTACAACAACACACCTTACTGAATGATGAACAGGCTCAAGAAGAGTTTGCCGAGGTGATGCTGGTAACACTGGAGTGTACAGGTTTTTCAAATACTATCGCCTCGTCTTGCTGGTGGTATCTGGCAATAAATTATGGGCTCAAAGATGTGACCTATGACCTGGAGCCAGTAAACATAAATATAGCCACTGTGTCTTAAGACCTAGTTTGACCAACTAGCAGTTAACCAAGTGGTTATCAGTCTTACTTTTCAAATTAGACTCATCTACCTTTTTATGTATCTGACTAATGACCAGTCTTGAAGAAAAAATTAGATGACTAACTTTTAAGTCTAGTCTAAGCAGTTTATACAACCAGCACCTAGAAACTGAGTTTGAACCATAAAACCACTGCACCCTTAGTGGTTAGTGCATAAATGTTTAAGGGATAGTTCACACAAACCTGTATGACTTTCTTTCTTATGTGGAACACAAAAGAAGATATAGGGCTGGGCAGTATGACAACATATATTGTGGTGACAATTTAAAGTGTCAGTTTATAAAGAGAAAAAATAACTGTTTGTCTATATAATAGCAGTGAACGGCAACCTGCTTCAAACTTTAAAGAAAAAGATGCAAAGGTATCACAGGTCACTCATGTCGTGATCTGAGGGCATATGATGTGGTTTGGTGAATTTGGCGACAATGACTGATCCAAAATTCCAAACCTTATTTTCTTGGCATGCAAAAACAAAAGAGAAAGTCATCTTTCCCGCTCTTATCTAGACCCGCTTTCCCAGTTCTTAAAACGGAGTCACTATGGCTTTGCTCATGTGTGTTTTAAAATAGCCCTGGCCGAATATTAAAGAGAAAAAATAACTGTTTGTCTATATAATAGCAGTGAACAGCAACCTGCTTCAAACTTTAAAGAAAAAGATGCAAAGGTATCACAGGTCACTCATGTCGTGATCTGAGGGCATATGGATGTGGTTTGGTGAATTTGGCGACAATGACTGATCCAAAATTCCAAACCTTATTTTCTTGGCATGCAAAAACAAAAGAGAAAGTCATCTTTCCCGCTCTTATCTAGACCCGCTTTCCCAGTTCTTAAAACGGAGTCACTATGGCTTTGCTCATGTGTGTTTTAAAATAGCCCTGGCCGAATATTTTTAGCCTGTAGTTTATCAGAATAAGCAACTGCCTGTCACAATGCTCCCCTGGAGTTCGAATGGGCTTGGACCTAATCTTAGAATGACCGTTCTGTCAGCAAATGGGCCTGACAAAAATAGAATAAGTTATGAATTGGTCTTCATATGGAGCTAGGATAAGCTTATCTCTCGAGGAAGCCAACAAAATGTGCTAAAACAGGACCAGCAGAATGGTACACAGAAAGATTTTGTCGAAAACAAGTGGGCAAGAAACTGATTATTATTTTTTGGAATGCATAGTAGACTGTTGCCTAACCAGATTGTTGACACTAAGCTGTTAGGTATATGTTCTCAGTTGCACAGACTGCACTGCACAATGAAATTCTTACGTTCCAGTAAATCACCCGTTAGCAGACTTCCTCAAAAAAGCTTTGCATTCCTGTCATTCACAACACATTGCACACCACGTGTCTTTTTATTAGGCCCTACATTCCGGCTAATTTGATTATTTTAGCTATCAATAAGAGTGTGGAACTCTCAGCTCCATTTGACACATTTTATAACGTTTTTATCCACTCAGCAACCTCAAAAATCAGTGGAGACGATGCAAAAAGGTCTGTAGATTTTGTCTGGACCTGCCCATTAGATAATAACTTGTTAACCAGCTTGTATTTCTTTCAAACCTCTGACATTTGGAATAGCATAATACACTCACATTAGCAAAAATGCTTGGAATAGCCTACTGTATCCACACTGCAATGTGCTTGACTTAGCCTATCAACTCAGCTTTTATGGATGAACTGGTAGTATTATCTACTTTGAGTTTTATCCACTGATCTATATATAATTATATAATTCTCTATTATAGATCAGTGGTTTTATCTCTTTCTTAGCTTATTTGATCAGACTGTCAAATGTAAAAAGACATTTTACATAAAATTACATTTATTTCTAGAAAGGTAACTGAAATGTCACTCATTAAATAATGTGATGACAAAAAGTAGCATATACTCTTCTTTAGTGTGGAATACTGTTTCACTTACTAGCCTACTTAAAAAAAAACGTATTGTGTGAAGATTCCTCAGCGAGTTCTGCCTTCATGCTTCCCCAGACTCCAGTCTCGTGTTGCTCACTCACTCGGCATCAGCCCGGAAATTTCCGAAAAGAGCCGAACCCGTTGCATTCTGGGAAAAGGAAGACTGGAGGCGGTCGCCATATTGATTGATTCCGCAGATTCACTGGAGCAGAAAACAGCAACCTTTCTGATTAAACGAGCTTAAATTAAACAATTACACAAGTAGCTGTCACATAATATTACACGAGGTCGCTGCAGACCGTGCTGCATTCACAAGACCCTCTTTAGCGGTGTCAGTCGGATTTATTCGTGCAGAATATGGGTCGCTCCCGGAGCCACAGCGCGTCCCGATCCAAACACTCAAAACACAGCCGCAAACGGAGCCGCTCCAGATCCAAATCCAGCAAGAAAAGGAGCAGGTCAAAGGAACTGAAAAGGAGCAGAAGGTCCCGCTCGAGGTCAGACAGCAGGAGGGACAGAGGTGGCTCACCCCCGGACCGAACCGACATGTTCGGACGGACACTGAGCAAGAGTACGGTATGTGGACAGAATATAATGTGGACAGTGACCTTTTTTCTTCATGACCACCTGGATGACCTTTGGATTTGCCAAAATATGCATCCACAATAACAACTGTATACCGCTTATAATGCATTGTGTAGTACTAAATTACTGTAAGGCGTGCAGTTGTTTGGGGGGGGAAGGCTTCTGCTTTGTAGTCAGTTGCTCACTCACTCGGCATCAGCCCGGAAATTTCCGAAAAGAGCCGAACCCGTTGCATTCTGGGAAAAGGAAGACTGGAGGCGGTCGCCATATTGATTGTTCCGCAGATTCACTGGAGCAGAAAACAGCAACCTTTCTGATTAAACGAGCTTATATTAAACAATTACACAAGTAGCTGTCACATAATATTACACGAGGTCGCTGCAGACCGTGCTGCATTCACAAGACCCTCTTTAGCGGTGTCAGTCGGATTTATTCGTGCAGAATATGGGTCGCTCCCGGAGCCACAGCGCGTCCCGATCCAAACACTCAAAACACAGCCGCAAACGGAGCCGCTCCAGATCCAAATCCAGCAAGAAAAGGAGCAGGTCAAAGGAACTGAAAAGGAGCAGAAGGTCCCGCTCGAGGTCAGACAGCAGGAGGGACAGAGGTGGCTCACCCCCGGACCGAACCGACATGTTCGGCCGGACACTGAGCAAGAGAAACACCGACGAGAAACAGAAGAGAGAGGAGGAGGAGAGGAGAGCAGAGATAGAGAGCCAGAGGAAGATGTAAGACATCTATGTGTGTGTGTGTGTGTGTGTGTGTGTGTGTGTGTGTGTGTGTGTGTGTGTGTGTGTGTGTGTGTGTGTGTGTGTGGGTGTGAGTGTGTGTGCGTGTGTGTCTGTGTGTGTGTGTGCGTGTGTGGGAGTGAGTGTGCGTGCGTGTGTGTGTGCGTGTGTGCGTGCGCGTGTGTGTGTGGGTGTGTGGGAGGGTGTGTGTGTTGTGTCACTGTTTTCCAAAACACTAACAAATTAGTTAAATACAATTGCAAAATTAAAATCTTCCCATTAACCTTCTCTGATGAAATAATTAACAAATAAATAAAACAGTATTACTTTTAAAGTAAATATTGAATGAAATATTTTTACTTTAGTTATTTTAAATGAGAAAATGTAAAGTTATAAACGTATGTATATAATGAAAAATGATTAAAAAAAAATATATATAATAAGTATATATATTAGGGATATGCCGGTATCTAATTTTCATGTTGCGATTAATTGCTCATGCTTTTATCATGGTATACGGTATTATCACGATATTGAAATTTAGTTTTAAAAAAGTGCTGTCATAATACAGTATAACATGTTTAATAACTTTTTTCTTATAACAAAATAACTGAACATTTAAATGCAATAAAGCAATACAGAAACATTTATAAAGTTATAGGGCTGCACGATAAATCGCATTTATTTTCAAATGAAATCTGAATGATATTTGACAGTGAACGCATCTCCACTGTATAGCCGCATACAATCGTTGTTGTCAGTCGCAAATATTAAACATGTTTTAGGCTATAATGCATGGTGTGTGTTTCACTAGCTCTGCTCCAATGGACACCTTTTGTTTGATCTAATTCTGGATATTTCCAGCCTAAAACGTGTGATTAATCTAAAGCCATGTCTACACCAAGAGAACCCATTCCGGGAAGTGGCGCGAGGCGACAAATCTTCTACAGTAACTGATGCCTCCTTCTATCCCGAATCTTTGAAACATGCGTTGAAAGTGAAACCTAAAAAACAGTGCGCATAAGATAGCGATTGCAGGCTTTCGCGAGCTTCAGCAAATGCACTCGATCACAGATTGCACGCTTCCTAGCCGAAACGAACCCCTACGTAAAAAAATTGAAATAATAACCTGTCGTGTGATATAAGATTTTGGCCATATTGCCCATCTAAATCATACATTCCACACTATCAACAGGCACGTCATGTAGGCTACACTTCTTGTACTTCGTTTGGGCACCACAAAGTGTCACTGTGGCCTCAAAGCTTACTCCTCGCCTACTCTGGCTCGATTGCTATTCCTGAGGTAAAACACGCCCTCCTCATTACCCTACTGACAAAGAAATGTATAAAGAAAGAAAGAAATACATGTGAAAATAAATAAAAGTGGAAATAAAGAAAAGAAAAAATAAATAAATGTGGAAAAAAATACACAAGGAAATAAAATTATAAACAATTATTTATTTTTGCTTTTTTACTTATCTTTGCATATTTATTTATATTTGCTTTTTTACATTTCTTTGTGCATGTATTTATTTATTTCTAATTAAGTCAACTTTGGCATTCCATAATTTAAGGGTCTACCAATAAAACTGCAATGTTTCATCCTTTCTTTCTCGTATCCTCTACAGCCGTCAACAGGAGATTGAGGAGCGTCTGATTGAGGAGGAGACGGCGAGGCGCGTGGAGGAGCTTGTAGCACGGCGTGTAGAGGAGGAGCTTGAGAAGCGGCGTGATGAGATCGAGCATGAGGTGTTACGGCGGGTAGAGGAGGCCAAGCGCATCATGGAGGCACAGCTTTTGCAGGAGCTAGAGAGACAGAGGCAGGCTGAACTGAACGCCCAGAAAGCCAGAGAGGTAACGCTCGGTCGTTCGGAACGCAGCGGAGCTGAGCCGCACACCCACAGCCGTGGCACAACCTGGCACTCGTTTCTCCACGAGATACATCAAGAGACGCAGGCTAGCTCGATTGATCGGGTGGGGAATAAAATTAATTACAAAATGCGACTTTTTCAAGGTGTGATGTGATGCTTGGAGCAGTTCTTTTGAGCTGCTGTCTGGGGAACGCTAATATTTAAGGACATTGGGTGATTGAGTCCGCGTTTACTCTGTTGACTGACAAGCTCTGCACTTTTTCTGTAATTCTTCAATTTTATTGAGTCACACACCTCTAGTGCACTCTCGGGGGTTTCAAGTCAACGTTTTGCCATGGCTGTGATGGACCAATATTATGTTTCCCATCTTTTCGCTCCCCTTTTATTTTCCACCCCTACCCTGCTCTCTTTACTACTCATATATTTTTGCGTTTTACTGTCACCAATGTATGAAACTGTTTGTCTTCAATAAAACGCTTTTCTTAAAAAAGTCACTCGGCATTCAAACCAGGCCTGTTTTTGTGTATGAGCTTTCAGTGTGAACATCCACCATTATACACTTTGATAGGTCAAGACGTAATTCTGTTTTGGATGTTACAAACACACAAGACCTTTTGTAGCCACTAGACCGCACTTAAACTTGTTAATTTGCTAAATCCATATCTTGTAATTCCACCCATACCATAAAGGAGGGTTACTGTGCTGTAATTGTAAAGACGCAATGAGTTATGAACGAGAAACTAATTCCATTCCACAAGCGCACACAAAATCCAGTGGCTCAGCACTAATAGGGTTAGATATGTGCCCTCCTTCTGTACATTTTAGATTTGTGCCCATCATCTGTAGCCCTGGTACTGAACCATTAAATGAATCCATATTGTTGTAGATTTAGGAAGATTTTGTCTTCATTTGCACCATCAATCACAAAACGCTCTACCCTTCCCTTTATTGCTCATCCATTTCTGTCATATATGTTTTATATTTATTAATGGCTGAATTATTTTTTTATTAGATTTCTAACATTTTTTTTTTCTTTGACCCTTCTGTTTTGACGTCGTTACAAGTGCAGTGTTTTAAATGTACTTCTGTGTCCTCACGATTTGCTTTTCCTCAGGAGTGCTGCCGTACGGGTACACACACACACGCAAAAACACACAGACACACACTACTACATCCACACTCAATGCTACTGTACCATTGAGCTTAGACGCCAACACATCAATGTTTTTGTTTTCAAACAAACACTTCTAATGAATGATCCCACCTTTGTGTTTTTGCAGTCTTTAACATCGTTTAACATTAATAGCCTGACGTCCCCACACGGTAATGTTGTATGATTAACATAATTCATTTTCCTGGACTGTGCTATATATACTGCATGTGGTGTTGCTGTGTAAGAGCACTAGCTCGTGCTAGCAGCTCAAACATTTTTAAAGGCGAGGTGCAGCGCTGTCCAGGACGGGACACACGGGACCAGGCAGTAAATACTCACCCCTTTAATCAGCAGTTGTGTAGGTACAGTACACAGTCAAAGGAGAAAGGCGTAGGTATACGAGCATTGGTGAGCCACTACTATTCACTCTCTCCTTTGTTTAAGTTAATCTTTCTTTGTCTCTCTCATTTTCTTTTGAAACTTTTTGCTTATGGATGCTGATCAAGTATAAAGAGAGAGAGAGAGAGAGAACGAGCAAAATGATTTTATTTTATTTTTTCCTTTATCCATCTGCAAACGAATGAGATTCTTCGTTAGTTGTCGATGTGTTGTCTATACATACCTGTTCTGAATGGATGTAAATGAATGGGTAAATGGATGTTTGGATGATTGTATTTACATATAACGTGGCGGGGATTAAAGGTGTGACTGAATGCATCCGTGGGTGGGTTTTTGTGCTCATTGTTGCATACATAGAGGTTAGCTTCAGACATTTGATGCTGCAGATCGGAATGTGGAGTGTGTGTGAAAGCGGGTGAGAGAGACTGTGCGAGTGTCGCTGGCTGGTTCCTGTTTGTGCGAGTGTAGACGTGTTTGAGTGTGCAACTGGGTTTATGGGGACTTATTTCAGTGGATTTGTCTCCCCACCCTAACATGTCACCATGTCACTCCTTTAGGTGGAAGAAAAATCCAAGCGAGAGGAGCTGGAGAGAATTTTGGAAGAAAACAACCGAAAGATTGCTGATGCTCAGGCAAAGCTGGTACTTATTCCTATGTTTTATTTTGACAGCAAAGCAGAAAACAAGAAACAAAAGCCAAACACAACAAAATATGAAAACAAATAAGAAAAAATATGTTCACAAAACAAAAATGAAATATAATAGAGTATGCTCTAGAGTATGGGGGGGTATTTAGATTTGTCTACACGAAAAGTGTCTTTTTGTTATGCATGACAAGGTTACCATAGAAAACCAGAAATTAGGGTCACAACAGATTTGAACTTCACTATTACTGTGGCCAAAATAATTTACAACAATAATATTATCTATATAAATTTTGAAAGAAAAAAAATTGAACACTTTAAGGTGTCCTTGTTACACGTTACATGTACTTACTATTATAATAACAATAAATTATGCATAATTACATGCAATCCTAACCCTAACCATATAGTAAGTACATGTAGTTAATTAATATTATTCACTACTTAAAAGTGTAATTACACTGTAACAAGGACACCTTAAAATAAAGTGTAAGCAAAAAAATCTATTTTATGAATGGTGGCAAAGTTAAAGTACTGTATTGTCATGTACTATATTGGAGTGTCAACCGTATAGTTACTGTTGAATTATTTACTGTTATTGTATATTGTATGTAGTATATGTAGTATTAACATGATATCACTCATTAGTAGTATTAACATGAAAAACTTGAAAATTTCTATAGTGAATAATAATAGAATAATATTCCCTTAAATATTTATATGACTAGAAATCGTTATTTGTGAATGCGATCTCTTAAGAAATTGTTCTTAGAGTTCTTATCCAATGATAAGTGCTAATCTGGAATAGTCATGGAAATCCATTGATCAAAAAGGGGAGGGAACCCTAATATACACTGTTCCGTGCAGAGATCAAGCCAGTGAATTCATATTGAATCCTATGTCCACTGATAATTAAAAGCTCTAATGTTATTTTTGACAATACATTTGGTGCATGTTTATACATTTCAAGGAATTGTGGCCTTTTGTATCGCCCTCAAAATGGACAGAAAATATTTTTCCCCTCACGGTTTTGACTTGAAGTGTTTAGATGTTTTTTACTGCGTTAAGTCATTGTGAATGCTCAAGGGTTTTTGTTTGTTTTTTCTCCTGCTTGTGTTGTTGTGGTAGAACCTACCCTCCCTGAAATGTTTAGTCTGAACTTTCAAAATGGATGCTTGGCAGTGCCCCCATTTTATGTATATGGTTGTACTGAATACAGTGAACATAGGTTTTTTTCCTTAGTACATATCGTTTTGATAATTAAGGTACATTTGTTAATGTATTAGTGCATCAAAAGATTTAAAGTGTATCTGTCTTTGGCTGATTGAAAGAGTCACTTTTGCTCATGTGTGTGTTTTAGGCTGAGGATCAGCTACGTATTGTGGAAGAACAAAGGAAGATCCACGAGGAACGCATGAAGCTAGAGCAGGAGAGGCAGAAACAACAGAAAGAGGAACAGAGGATGATATTGGGGAAGGGCAAGTCCCGACCTCGTCTCTCCTTCACTCTCAAAGCAACAGAGTGACCTCTTCTCTTCTCTTCTCTTCTCTTCTCTTCTCTTCTCTTCTCTTCTCTTCTACAATTTATAGTATTGTAACCTAGATCACATTTGTCCTTTTTGATACACCTTACTTAAATCGCTCATTTTTGAAACGTAGAACATATGTGTGGCCAGAACTTATTTAGCATTCATAATACAAGCATTTTGGTGAAGAAAAGGTTACAATGTTACAAAGTCTTGTAATGTTTCTAGTGCTCTGTTGGTACCTTAAGGAAATCGGGAATCGCAGGTAAGACTAGTTAGGGTGTGTATGCGAGCGAGTTTGTGTGGGTGTATGAGTGTATGCTAGAGGGTGTTCTTGTCTTGTGGTAAATTACCCCTTTGCTTGTGAACTGGGACATTTAGTGTGATGACCAATAAATCCCATGAACACAACATTGCCTGAATCATGTTTCTTGGGCACTCTGCAAACCACAAAGGAGTTTGTTTAGAGCCTCAACTGTCCTCTTCTGGGAATTTGTAACCGCTCTCTTGCTTAATTTGACCGATTATTTTAATTCTGCATATATTCTGCAACACACCAGTCATTTGTTATTTTGTAAGATAATTACAGTAAAATCTAATCTTTAAAAAAACACTACCTCCTTTGCAGTTTTATAGTCACTTTAAGGTCAGATTTTGCAAGATTCTGAAGAAGGTAAATTAATTAATATTATAGCTGTCTTACAAAACATCTGAAGTGCAGAATGAGTGTTAGAGGATTTGTAGAGCAAAAAAAAAAAACATAATCCCAAGACACTGCCCTCATTAAAAGATCTAGTGAGGTCCTTCCATGAAAAAGGGTGTATTTTGTGTTTCTCGTGAACATATGCATAAAACATTACCATTACTTCCTTTTAATTAAGTTGAAAAACTTCTATTACAAAAATGCCATTCATTCAACTCTTCAAGCACAAGTATTTTATATATATATATATAATTTGATCATACTTTATGGTTAATAATGGACAGCATTTAACCGTTACCATGATTTTGTACAGAAAGCAAATTATTACAAATGTTTATAGAAATATTTTTCTAATAAACACCTTGTAGTCTTATGATCTTTTTTGAAGTTAGTTTTATCCCAACAAATAATTTAATCAAGTTTACATTTAGTTTAATGCCACAATATTCTTTAATAACACTTTTTGTCTCTCTTCGGATGTGTGCTTCATGTTGAAGTGAATTGGAGTCTCAAAGAGAGGTCTGCCCTGTGCGCTCTGCCCACAAAAAAAAACATTTGAATCCTCACGCTTCAAAATCGGACTTGCAGACACCACCACAGACTTACAGATCAGCTGTCATCTTTTGCTTTTTTCAGTGTGTTGTATTGATATTGCACACCGTTACGCTGGATGCACCTTCAGAAACACAGGGCACCCCCCCCCCCCCCCCCCCCCCCCCCCCCCATATTTGTGTATATGAGTGTGCGTGGTTGGTTGGTCAATATATATATCAGTGGTTTGGGAGCTCTGTTGGTACAAGTTCAGTTTAACTACTGTTCTTGCGTTCAAAGCATAGGGGAAGTACGCCAAAATGTAAATTGGCAGACTTTGTTTTGTGCTTATTAGTGAATGTATGTTGCAGGGAGTGTGTGGAAGCATTTTGTATTTTTTAGATTGTGGACTGAACACCTCAAAACATAGTCAATATTCTTTAATAACACTTTTTGATCTAGTAGAATATTTAAAATATTAAATGATTTACTTTTAAAATCACATTTTCCAACCTATTTCGGTAAATGACCCAGTAACAATAGAATTTAACCCTTCTTCTGGGTTAAAGACTTCTAACCTAATCTGCCTTTCAGTTTTATTTCTGATTCCTCAGTTCGAGGTTACTTCTGGTCGCCGCCTCAGGTTCTCAGTTGGCCTGTGTGAGAAGCTAATGGAAATGTTGGCAAACCCTTCTGTCACAGACGTGCGATTTTTTCGACGAGCCCGCATGATGCTGTCTTGTGCGTGTATTAGTCACTGTCAGCTTTAACAATGCCGCACTGATGAACGACTGTTGTAACGCCGAAACTCTGCGACCCCTGCGCGCTCAACTCCACAATTCTTTTATTGCCATGCATACAGTGTTCAGCGCCAGGCAGAAGTTACAGCGGCTGTTGTGATCAGTTCAGAAGCGATGCGTGAAGTTTGGCCGGAAATGCCCATACTTTGCTGTTGTTTGTGAGTGTAGGAAAGCCAGCAGGTGTGTTTTCTCGTAAGTGTAACCTACTGCGTTTGATCACGCTACGAGGGACCCACGGACCGTGAGATTATTCGCGTGCAACTGAATAAACATCGATCTGACCTCGTGATTTCAAAGAGCTGAGAAGCTGCTCAGAGTTTATCTTGAATGTGTTAAGCGGTGTTTGTTTTTCATTTACGGAGCGTCATGAGACTTTGGGGACATTTAGGTTGAGATGTTTAAACTGATAGT